CACTTGGAAAATTAAACAAAGGACTTACTATTTGAATAATAAAATGTCATACCTAATGTGCCACTTAAATGGTTAAGCATATTAAAAAAAACGTTTGCACCTAAAGTGGCATCATCATCATTTAGGGTGAAAAATCACTTTTTGAAATTTAATAAAAAAGTTTTAGATATCACATTTTAATAACATTGGGTAAGACTGCAATATGAGCCAAAGTGGTTTAAACTTTTATATGGGGCCTTTAATGGACTTGCAGCTACAAAAATGTGGTTTTCTGCATTGTAAGCCCAATGTAGATTTCTTGCGATAACCATTATAAAAGAAATGTTAAATAAGTGTTATTGGTCATAATATAACACAATAAAATTAATGGACCAATCAGATTTGCCCCCACGTGATTAGTAACGTATACATAATTTATAGTTTTGGTTTATTGGTTCTTTGGTAATCACAACATCACAAAACATTTAAATATTGCTTATTAAGCAGCTAACACATGTAGTAACGTGAAACAGTTGCCACATTACCGATTAGGCCTAGATTACATTCATCCATTATTAAATAAAATTGATTCCTTTAGGTTTAAATTACTAGTTCAGTTGTCCTTTTTGAATTTTGGAACTTTATGAATTTTAATGTACCTAGAAGCTCAGTAGGTATGGAATAATCTGTTATGTACATTTGGTTTGGATGCAGGGTTTATCCCAAGGGGAATATGTGTATCTCCTGAGGGACCGATACACATATTTCCTTTGGGATAAACCCTATATCCAAAACTTACCAGTACATAACCCTTACGTATTAGATTGATAATTTTTTATTTTATTTTCAGGTACACAATCTTCAAAGACCATATCACCTTATATGACTGTATCCTTTGTAAAAAAATGGTTGTAGCAGAGCTTTCATAGTTCAACATTTAAAAAAAAAAAGTTAAAACACTTTTAGTCATAATAAAAGTTTCACATATCAGATATTGAATACGACCACAATATAAGCCAAAATGGTTTAAACTGTATACAGGTCTTAAGGCTTCCTCTTAGTTTTCAATAAAACAGTTTAACATTAATGTGTAACAACCTTGTACAAAGCATTACAAATCCTTCTTTAAAGATTTCTGGGTCCTTTTATGCAAATTCACAAATGATATCATATTTCTTAAAATTCATTTCATGGTGTCAATGACCTACTTTGGTGTTTGTTGATGTCAGGTTTCTTTTTTTTCCTTGACTTCCATTCAGATGAAATTGGAGATGGTATGAATCTAGAGCTCTACTACCAGTGACACATATGCAGGCACATCACACACTGACACATCACACACTGACACAATCTGAACCAGACTTCCCTGCATGCCCGGGGGGTTCACTGTATATAAAACTCGACGGGGGTCCTAGGCTGAAGCCTCAAATATCAATATGTTCCCATACCAATCTGTCAAATTTCAATATGTTCCCATACCAACCAAAATATAGAACCAATGCCATACCAAATGTCCAAATATAGGACCAATGCCATGCCAAATGCCGAATTATGGGACCAATGCCATACCAAATGTCAAAATGTAGGACCAATGCCATACCAAATGTCCAAATATGGAACCAATGCCATACCTTAATTCAAAGTAAATGAAATATAGGATCAATGTCATACAAATTTGCAACTACTGGACCAATGCCATACCACGAATGTTAGGTAACGTATCTACAACGACCATTCTCATACCAGAAGAGCAAAAGTCCGACCATTGCCATACCTCAGAAGTCAGAAATTTCCGGGCATTCCCATACCAAATCTTAAAATATGGGTCCATTGCCATACCAAACGTTGAAAAAGGTACCCCACATGCGCCGAGGATCCCCGTCAAGGTTTATATATAGTGAACCCCCCGGGCCTGCATGATATGTAGAATATAAACACTTGTATATAGCAGGACTTTTAAACACATATTAAATATGAAATGATGTGTTAATATAGAGGTACTAAATATGGTACTGTAAAGCTTAGAATGGAGTGGAACATATGATCCTGTACAAATTACAACTAAGGCCATATCATTGACATTCATGATATTCATTCAGAAAATTGAACAATTTACCTGAGACTGCAATATTAAAATATACTGTATATAACATAAGTAAAGATGTTCCCGGAAGAATAGATATCCATCTATTATATTGAATGGACAACCTTAACCTCTTGAATCCCAGGCTCTAAAATTGGCATGAAACCAGAGAATTTTTCATTTTTTGCCACCTTTTGACATTTTATTACATACCTATACAACTTTAGATGCTTAGCTTAGTAAAATTGGACGGCAGAGATCATTTCTACACGTTTTAAAACAATTTTTGTGTAAATTGGATGAAAATTGTTCAAATGAGAGCAATTTTTGTGAAAAATTTTGTGACGGATTTTCTCGTCCCTCTGGGCACCAGTCTTATTTCATTTGTGACGGATATATCCGTCACTCTGGGTATTCAAGAGGTTAATGTAACTAATTTACCTTGAACATGAAATAAATCTATATTTTGTTTTGCAGTAAGGAATATTATTTGTGTATTTTAGTGTATCAAGACACATCTAAGGTGCACCATGCACAGTAGATAAGCATGGTACAGGGTGACACAAAAAATGCCACCCACTTATTTTGGAATAACTTCTCAATAATTTTTGTGATTTTTCTTGTGTAAATGGAGTGTACAATTGGGAAAGATTGTTGTACTTTGATAGCATCAACACCTTTTTGATTTAGAGAAATCATGATTTCCGTCCAGGGATGCTCTCGGTGAAATCGTCAAAAAATGTTCAAAATACAGTTTTCTGAAATCTGGGATGGGATTTCTAATTTAGACCATTATTCGAGTCATTTATGGATTGCTTTCACTAGCTTCCACATATATTATCAATAACATGTCACATATACCAATTTTTCCTTAATAGTTTTGTCAAATGACTCGCTTATTGGGTAAATTTTAAGAAAGACAGATTTTCTAATTTACATTTTTGAGTGATTTTGAGTCCGAGCATGCCGCGCAGAAAATGAGATCTCTCTTAATTTCCAAGTCATATGCAAGCATATCAATCTTTTCTCCATTGAACACTCCATCTTCACATAAAAATCACAAAGATTCATTAATTATTGAGACTCAAAAATGAGTGGGTGGCATTTTATTTGTGTCACCCTGTATTTTTATTTAGCTCTCATAGTGAGCTATCGTAATCACTCACCAATTAACCTCACCATCTTTTTATTATTTTTCCTTGAGGAAATTCACCTTATAAGGACACATCCACTAACATGATGACCGGAATCCAAAATAAATGACCAAAGTTGGCCGCAATACTTTTCATAGTCGTTCATATTTCTTCAACCAAAATGAAGATTCATTTTTGATAATTCATGAATCTATGAAATTCGAACTGTATTCACCCACTGGTATTTGAGTGGACATATGAACAGATGGAGAGTTGACTTCTCTATATCTCTACTCAAAGTTCATTTGCTGGGGTAATGATCATACTTGTCCCTTATTAAAACACAAAACATTCTCTAAATGCAGTTTTGTTCTCTTTATTTGTTACATTATTCATCATATGACAATCAACACTTTCATTTATATATAAACAATGGTAGAAGTATCAAACAGTGCATGTACATTTACAAATATAGCTATATGTCAAGCATAGTGCTTATAAAATCATACATTAATTGAACGCTGCATTGATTGTGCTGATACATTTTGTAAACTATCTAAATGCGATAGTTTAGCTCACAGGAGCACTTTTGAAATGAAATGAAATGAAGTTTGTCTTTGTAAAAGTGTTCCTGGAGTTTTTAATTCATAACATTGATTTTCTAAAGTAAAATTACAGTTGACCTCAAATTACCTTTTTAGAGTGAATACATGCATTTATTTCATATATTTAATGGACAATGTATCATAATACACTTCCAAGTTGAAGTATCCATAATGATGTTAAGCAAATCCTAGGGCCATATGAATGATCAATCAAATTCAAAGATGATTAAATGGCCATAAAACCACATAGGGGTTGTTTAAGAGAATGACTAGAAATATGACTAATAAAGACATGATCATTGTTTCAATTGCTATACTGCCATTGTTAGTATGACATTTCAACGTTTTCATAGGCTTTTCGACTCTGGTTTGCAAATCATGAAAAAAAAAAACAGATACTGGTTTCATAAACACATGAGTAATGGTCACTGAAGGTGGTGACAAGTTTCTCTGTTGAAACTTCTTGAAATGTGACACTTCACACCTATGTAGATAACCTGCACGCATTAATCACTTTTATAACATTACTGCAAACATCAGGAAATAAATGGTGGTTTACACTTCACATGATGAGGCGCCAGTAACAGCATTTCTTGATATAAAATCAAATCAAAGCATTAATTCTTTATATACATTGTAAGATTTGGGTGTCCATTTTTGGAACTGTCTTGATTACCCTTTTGTAGTCATTGTTCATATGAAGACAATGGTTTTCTACTTATTGTTTATAATTGTACCAACAATGGACCCCAATCTAATACTTAGTTGGTAAAGCTTTTTCTTTCTTTCTGCATCAGAAAAAAGCAAACTTTGGTATATGAGCTTAAGATCTCTGCCAAGCCAATGTAAAAGTTTTGGCTCATCAGTAATTCATACAATTGTAATATAAAATGTTACATTCACATCTTTCTAAACATTAAAAATTCTCAAAAAGCAGTTAGTTGTTACAATAAAACATATTAAGCAAGATACATATAAATGTTCAGTAAGAAAGACCATGCAGTTCATTCAACACACCCTGTAAAGAAAGCATCATGTCACTATGGAAAATTGATTAGCTTAATCTGGACAATAGTATCAACAATATGTAATGAACTCTAGAGTGGATATGGAATGAAACCCCAACTGAGAAACGTCCTTCAATTATGGTTGGGAACTGTCAGTCACATGAAGTGATCAAAGTGAATGATATTGATACACAGTATGGTATTCTCTGTCCCTGAATTAAACTCGTTTTGTGCCATTGCAAATTGCTTCATAGACGTCCTTTGTTAGAGGTTTGTACGATCCTCCTGACATAACATCCTTGAAGAACATGGCATCACTGACCTCTGATGGGTTGAATGCTTCCTTCCTCAGCAATGTCTTCTTTAACTTGAATGTACCTGCAGGTATACAGAAAGTCAAGGGATAAACACAAGTTGTTTTTAACTAATCTGTCGAATTTTCAACTTTCAAAATCACTGACATATTGAGATACAAAATTAGATACAGAGTAATAATAAAAATATGGAACAACCTCATTATACCAAAAGAAATTGTACCTAAAGCCAATATACGGTGTACTAAAAAATGATAATGTTAGGCAATGTTCCAAAATGCTTCATGGCAAGATTCAAGAAGCTTACAGTTCCTCATCAGTATTTATGTTTTCAAGTTTTATGGAAACTTTGCATACAAACTGATTGGATTGCTGTGATCATACCTGTCATATGCTCATCTACAGACTTGATGAGGCGCACAAATACAGGTCTAGCATATGCTGGTAGAGACTTCTTCAGGCCATCAGCCAGATGATCCAAGTCAACACTTTGGTGCTCATCAACGATTGCCACCATCCCTGCTCGCCCTTCATTGCCTGCAAACAAATATTTTACATGTGAGATATCAACGATTGCCACCATACCTGCTCGCCCTTCATTGCCTGCAAACAAATATTTTACATGAGATATCAACGATTGCCACCATACCTGCTCGCCCTTCATTGCCTGTAAACAAATATTTTACATATGAGATATCAACGATTGCCACCATACCTGCTCGCCCTTCATTGCCTGCAAAAAAATATTTTACATATGAGATATCAACGATTGCCACCATACCTGCTCGCCCTTCATTGCCTGCAAACAAATATTTTACATATGAGATATCAACGATTGCCACCATACCTGCTCGCCCTTCATTGCCTGTAAACAAATATTTTACATATGAGATATCAACGATTGCCACCATACCTGCTCGCCCTTCATTGCCTGCAAAAAAATATTTTACATATGAGATATCAACGATTGCCACCATACCTGCTCGCCCTTCATTGCCTGCAAACAAATATTTTACATATGAGATATCAACGATTGCCACCATACCTGCTCGCCCTTCATTGCCTGTAAACAAATATTTTACATATGAGATATCAACGATTGCCACCATACCTGCTCGCCCTTCATTGCCTGCAAAAAAATATTTTACATATGAGATATCAACGATTGCCACCATACCTGCTCGCCCTTCATTGCCTGCAAAAAAATATTTTACATATGAGATATCAACGATTGCCACCATACCTGCTCGCCCTTCATTGCCTGCAAACAAATATGTCACATATGAGATATCAATGATTGCCACCATACCTGCTCGCCCTTCATTGCCTGCAAACAAATATTTTACATATGAGATATCAACGATTGCCACCATACCTGCTCGACCTTCATTGCCTTCAAACAAATATTTTACATATGAGATATCAATGATTGCCACCATACCTGCTCGCCCTTCATTGCCTGCAAACAAATATTTTACATGAGAGACACAATGCTAAGTGTAGTACATATAACAAGGATTATGCAGTTAATAATCTACACTGGAACGCTTTCTATAGCTCCCAATTTGACAAAACTTCACATTTAAAGATTTGGACTTTACATTACTTCAACCATACATAACAAGACATGACCAAAACAACAGCAATATAAAGCTTAGCAACAAAAGTTAATGATACAATATATAGACTAACATTTGAAACTGTTAGATGACAAATAAATATATATTTTCAGGTAATGATCTATCTTTAAGGTTTAGATTTTGCCCAAACATTTGATAAATCTCAAAAATTGAGTACTTTATAATACATGTGCTGTAAAAAAAGTTAAAGACATCAGTTTAGATAATTCTATATACTAATAATATGCATCGTTTATGTAGCAGCTTTATTGCATGTCTTACCATTTTCCCCACATTTTAATTCAAGAAGAATCACTCCCCAACTACCATCTTGGTGTTCTGTTTAGTATGTATGAAGTTGCACATGGTCTTCAAACTTTAATATCATTAATAACTAAGAGCGGGGAAGGGGTATTTCGACAAAAAAAGTAAGAATACCTGGAATTTCCACTCCATAACAGACAGCGTCTTTAAGGTGTACAATGTTGCTAACTGAGGCCTCAACTTCTGCAGTGGAGACATTCTCACCCCTCCAGCGGAATGTGTCCCCTGTACGATCACGGAAGTACATGTAGCCAAATTCATCCATCACCAGAGTGTCACCTAGGAACATATGTTGTATAATGTGTTAAACATGGAAAGAAATGACAAAGAGAAGCAGGGAACTCAATCATACATAAAGATTTCAATGTTCATGACATTTTATTGGTTAAATGATCCAGAATGCTTTATGAATCTAATTAATATGGTGAGGATCAACTCATGACGCTAAATGATGTTCATATATGACCACAGATAGTATGGTGCCTTAAAATCATAAGAACAAAGCATTCAGGGGTTTCATTAGCACCAGCCAGCAGGTGATTGCTGTGGGCCTTGCTCTTTGTTAGTACCCCTTGTGCTGATCAATGCTTAGCTCTGTATCACAGCAATCTAATATACCATATTGTTATAAAACACTTATATAGGGTGTCAAATGGTCTTGTGTAGTCATTTTACCTGTCAGGAATGCTGAGTCTCCTTTAGCAAAAACATTCTGTGTGATCTTCTTGCTGGATGCATCCTTGTTGACGTAGCCATCAAACTCCCTCAATGGATCTCCCTTGATGATCTTGCCCACCAGCTCACCTGGTTCCCCTGGTTTGCATTTGATACAAACTCCATTCTCATCCCTTAGTGGTAGACCTGTCTGTTCGTCTACTCGTATAAGCGTCACGGGGTAGAGTTGAGGGGCAATCATTGTCGTGAATCCCACTGCACCAACTTTGTTGTCTGAGTTAACTGGAAGCATTAAAGGTTAAAATGAATATTTTCACAATTTCATAGGATCTACCTTTTGAATATACTGTCTCCAGAAAAATTCTCTCTTGATCAGAGGTTGTAAACTATATGTACACCAAAACACTGATCAGATCTGAACAAAAACTTTTGTCCACCAGTTTTGTTGATCAGTTAGGGTAAAGGGGAGTGCAAGCCGAAAATTGAAATCCATTTTTGAGCAGAACTTGTATGCCAACATCAATATAATGAGAGCAAAAATGCTGCACTAGAAAGCTCCAGAGAAGACTTCAACTCCTGCAGTAATCCTCAGCATAACTTACCTACATTTGCATTTCCCTCAGTGGCACCATAAAACTCCCCAATAACGCTGATATTGAACCTCTTCATGAAAGCCTCCCAAATTTGGGGTCTCAGCCCATTACCAAAGGCCAGTCTGACTTTGTGCGCTTTATCCTTGGGACTCTCAGGTTGAGCTAGGAGGTAGCGAGCGATCTCCCCAATGTATTGAATCATCTGCAAGTATTTTACAACTTTATTGAATTCAAAAACATGATGTCTCCTTAATAGAAAATAAGGAGAATCTCCACTTATGAACATCAGCTAAATTCCAAAATAGCTGCCACCATTCTAAGCAACAAAAATATTCTGCATCCCCATCTTGAGTTCATTGATTTCTCATTCTGTGTATATGATACAATTTGACTGCACAAGAATAGTATTAAATCTTGATATCATGAGGCAGATCAGGCCCATTCTTGTCATAAGAATGTAAACTCATTTAAGGGACAAATGCACAAGTTCAATTAAATCATCTTTCTAACCTACTGAATCTGCATGAGTACTTGGTTAAGGAGCAGCAATTCTAAGATTTTGAAGGAATTCTTGATAAGAATTAAATTATGATCCCTCAGTAATGCTACATAAATGCATTCCAATGAGATTTTAGGAAATCTGCATTTTTGACCAGTGATTAAAGTCCAACATCCTCTATTTGATGGCATATTTCCATTTTTTATGTAATTTTCTATCAATGGAATTACTTGCTTGATCAAGAAATTTGTTGACTCTTGCTACATGTTTGCATGTATTCTGGCCCTACCAACACCCATGCTGCCATTTATTTTTCCAATGTCTATTTGTCTATTTTCACATTTGGCCCATATTTGGTTGATGTTTCCGTCAGTTCATACTTAAGCAAGAAACCTTAAGTATCAGTCTTAGATTAAGTCCTCATACTTACTGTAGCATTATATTTGATACAGTCATCCCAGTGTTTACTTGCTGAGAACTTTCTTTTGATGATCACAGTGTTTCCGAAGACTAGAGCCTGTCCTACACCAAGAACACCACCAGCAGTATGGTACAGAGGTAATGTACAGTACAAGATATCATCATCTGTCATGTTGAACATCTGATGCAGGGAATATGACATATAGAAAAATCTGAAAAACAGTAATGTTTCTTCATATATATCTTTAAGGTAACTTAATAATTAAGGAATAAAGACCGAGATTTTATGATTTATGGCATGATATATGACTGAAAAATTTATACTGTTCATTGTTAAAAGACCAAAATCGCGTAGCGATTGAGGTCTTTGGGAATGGCCACAATAAAATTTGAGGTCATATCTTTGTTATGATTCTTATATGATAAACAAACAAGAAACACAACTATTTGCATTCATGAATTTTATCAGTCATACATACTCCAATATAGACCAGAAAATCAATTGTTCTAGCTAGTGTGACGTCACGTATCATATTAGAATGACCAGTAATCTCCAGCATGAAAAGAAGAAAAGATAACGGCAAAATATGCCCAATAATTTTGAATGGTCCTTTCAAGTAATACTTATATATATCTATAATATTCAACCATGAAAATCAAGATTATTTTCTACTTTAAATTAAACAATTTAAAACATTATTATTATGATGCTAAAAGCTATCAATGTATAGCATATATTTGACATTTGGAAAAAAAGTTTAAGTAGAAACAATATGGTAGTGAAAGAATTTGAAGTTTACTATTTCTTATAAATTATTCATAATTCTTAAATTTAATTGTTTTTAATGATATCTTAAAAATGCAGTCACTTCAGAATGCTGTGATATGTATTAGGGATTGTCACTTTAAAACTAACATATCTTTATCATGTGTTTACACAATGTTATTTCTGATATAAAATATTAGTTATTAAAGATTACAAAGTACAGGTGCTCATCGTCTTGTATCCTCTAAAGATTATTTATATTAAAAATAATTTTTATTTGAAGTTTGGACATTTAAAAGTAGGTAACCTTGATTTAAGGTCAAAGTACATTGCAACAAGCAATTATAAAAGTACCATGGGCATTGGGGTCACAATCACATGTTGTGCGCTTTTAGTTGAACGACAGCCATATTTGGATCATTTTTTTCAATGACAGTGAAAATTATGATAAGCAATAACCATTTCATATTTTTCAATGCAAATCAAAGCGATAACTCTTGAGATGTTGCTCAAAAAAGTGATGGTTAGTTTTTTTTAACATTACTTGATTGAGACTTAAGTAATATTCTCTTTCACATGAGGATATACTTGTAAAAACAAAAGTTGTAATTTAGTAGCTAATAAAAATGATGGCCATTTCCCTATTCCATTGTATTTGTGCACCAAGTCAACACATGGATGACAAATAACTATTGTAGTCACATAAATATTGGTTAAGTCCATACAGAGCCCCAAAAAACTAGACTGTTTGTCTGGTGACCTTGTCATTGACCTTGAATTTTGAAGTGATATATGATGCCAATATACTGCTATACTATTACTTACTTCTGTACTAAACTACATGTATAACTGACTAAATATAGTTAAATAGTATAACTCATACCTGCTGTTTATAACAATAGCTGCCTTTGGAAGACCAGTCGTCCCTGATGTGTAGATGTAGAATAGGGGATCTGCAACAAAACATTGTCAACTTGATTAAACATTTATTGGAATTATTGGACATACTGGATTTTCAGAAGTAAGTCTGTCATGACTAATTCATCAGTTGACTGGAAAAAACAATATAGGCTCAGGTTTCTATAGGCTTTATCTCCAAAAGACTAGGTCTACAAGTAAGCACTCAAAGAATGTTCTTCCAAAATTCTGAGCATGACACATTGTTTTGGTCAAATTTCATCTTTAAAATGTCAACCAATTGAAACTGGGATTAAACTTTAGAGTTAATCGAAATGATTATGATGCGGGGGAATTCTAATGTTAACCATTGTAATTATTAGCAATTGCTAAATAACACACTTGTTGATCCATAGTGTGTTCAATGGCAAATCTATGTAACCACAGCTAGCTAAGTATACTTCGAATTAAATTTGCTTTAATGTGGTTTGTTAAGTTGAGTTGTTTCTAATTCTTCCTAGCAACTTCTTGTAGCCTCTCACATATCACTATGATTAGCTTTATTTATTCAGTAAAAGTAGACTGATAATAAAACATTAACATGTATGTTTAGAGTGATAGCATTTGAACATTAACATGTATGTTTAGAGTGATAGCAAAGGATGAGCACATGAATCCATTATTAACACTGAAGAAATTGATTTTCTGAATTCTGAAACATGGCCTTAGTAGAAAAAGATAAAAAAAACATTATGTGAATAAGAAAAGAAAGATTGAGGAAGGGTGTAATTATAACATATGGTACCTTTAAATTTGGTGAGGTGGTCTGTAGGTGGAGGCATGTTACTTGCCTGTTGTAGCAAAGGGTCTAGATGTGAGGCTTGAAGGACATCACTATTGTAAGTTCCCAAACAATACAATGTCATGTCGTTACATATAAGACTCCTTGCCTCAGCAACAGCTGCAATGTCAAAATTGTTCAAAATTAAACAAATAAGTGAATTATATTTTGCTGGATAAGCAATAAGTGTGTACTTATTAACAAGTAGTAAGCATATCCTTGTTGAATAAACATGTATTTGTCACACTTTCCATTTTAATAGATATCAAATCAGATATAACTCAGTTTCTATGATATACCACATTTCAAGTTAATTTCAAAAATTACAAAATGTTCATAGCTATTAGCTATACTTATGCTATCTAATAGCATAAGATTTGGGACTTTTTGATTTCACTGCATATTTACCTTTGTCCAATTCTCCACCATAAACAGTCATCTTTGCATTGGCAGCTTTAATACAGTGAGCAAGGGACTCCATTCTCAGATTGAAGTTAATCAGTGCCCCGATCGCACCAATTTTGGCAAGAGCTAACCACATACAGACAAAGTCCGGGGAAGATTCCATATATATTGCTACAACATCGCCTTGACGAACACCTTTTTCATAGAAAAAGTTTGCAATTTTGTTTGAATATTCATCAATGTCTTTAAAAGTCCATTTCTTGTCTTCAAATATAAAGCATGTTTTATAAGGCATTTTACGGAGTGTCTGTCTGAAGAGATACACAATGTTGCCATCAGTTTTAGCAAGGCTCTTCATTTTCAACTTTGCATTGATGAGAACTTTCAAGGCTCTAAAAGTAAACAAAGAGAAGTCTATGAACATACAAGTATAAAAGTTAGTGTTTGCAAATATAATCATATAATGTATTTTATGAGTTCCAAATATCAAACATAGTTGAGTTCATGAACAATGTATAATTTTTGGGTATATTGACGACTATTCAATATAAGTAAATACTAATACTACAAAAAACTAGATGGAAACGTTTAGTTTTTATTTCCATCAGGTTTATTATATTTTTTCCTCTCTGATGTATTATTTTATTTAAAATGCATTATCTATCAAATGATGTAAAATAATTATACATGGGTCAGTTCCAGTTCTGAACTTCTGGTTTGAAAATTGACAAAAAATGGCGAGAAAAGGATAAAATCTGACTCATTTATTGAATTCAAAACTTTTCACAGTCTGTAGACATCTACTGTATCCTCACAAATGAATGAATCAAATGACTTACTTCTCGCGTCATTTTTACCACTGCAGTTCGTTTTTCCAAAATTATTCAAAATATTAGATTTTTCGTGAATGAACCACATCCTCTTACTCCCAAGAAGACACCTTTGGGACTATGATTAATGAACACAAAATTATAGGCTGTGGTATATATTGTATGCTCAGCACCAAAAGGATGTATAGAAATACAAAATTGCACTTACATACATCCTTTTGGCACTGAGCATGCGATATGTAGTAAGACTCCAACAGTAAACTGGAATTGCAGCGTTGCACAGCTTTTAGGACTTGATCAGTACATTCAGTTTGAAAGCTGTATGGTTTGTTTTTACTATACATCAATTCAGAAAAAGATTGCCAATAGTGAAAATAATGCTGTTCGCGAAAGTGAAGTGATAATAATGTGAATAGTGTCAAAGGGAGAGATGCTCTCAAGGCCAGGGTGCATGTTCAGAATTTTGCTGCAACCCTCAATTGAGTCACATGTTATTTTTCAAATTTGAATCACTCCTTCCCAACAATGTCTAGACCTCTCACTTTCGCATAACGTATATACTAATGTACCTAGAAAAGAATGTGACGAAGAATGTTTTGATAAAATGTATAAAAAACAAGAAAATTCATTAAAAAACTATTAAATGACCTACCTCGATACATTCCAGAGTATTTTAGAATTCTTTTTATGTTGTTAGATCGCCAATTGTATGGGTTTATTGGCAGAATGAAGATATTTTCGTTTTTGATAGCAATATTTGCGTGTAATATTTAACTTATTTCAACCGTCAAATTCCTCCAATCAGTTCCGGCATGCATCAGTCATAAGGGAAATTCCTGATCCCCTTCCGACATTTTGAAAATTGCTGACATATTTCCGATGTCAAAACTAAAATCTCTTCGTTCTGCCGATAAAACCCATACAGTTGGGGACAAAAATAAATGACAGGTCGATTTTCGATCACCATTTCCTAATTATGGTGGTCTGAAAGCCCATAATTTCCAATATTGTCTAGATACATATCCCTTAAAATTTGTATATTTTACATTTTGTATAATCTCATCCACTGATGTATGGCCTCTTGTAAATTCTCTTATTTTTAACATGGGAAATCCTCACTTCAGCAAATCCACCTGTCATTTATTTATGTCCCCAACTGTACAATTGGCGATCTAACAACATAAGAAGAATTCTAAAATACTCTGGAATGTATCGAGGTAGGTCATTTAATAGTGCAATGCGTAGTTCATTCTCCGACATTGTAGAAAGACAGGCTTACCAATGAATCGGGCGTACGACCACAATCTAAAGTGGTCGGTAGGATACGATAAGGGAAGGAGTGATTCCTGTTTGAAAAATAACATGTGAGGCCATGTGACTCCACTGAGGAATGCAGAAAAATTCCGAACATGCACCCTGGCCTTAAGTCGTCAAATCTCAATGTTTGGGCGTTATTTCCAACAATGTATGATTATCCAATCGCGGGAAATACGATATCCAGGCTTTTCAAAGTTGATCTGATATATGAAAAAGGTACGTGTGTGTACATTTCAGTGCGATAACAGCCAAATAACCAAATCTATAACAAATCCAAAAGATAAACAACGTGAATTGAGATAGTACCAAGAAATTATGAAACCGTCTGAGTATGAACATGGGCATTGTAAGGTACGTAGAATAATAAAAAATAAAGATTAATGAATTTACATTACCTAGCATCTCTTGGGAATGTATAGTACAAAATTCTCATAAACTTGTACCCTCCAGACAGCAAATAAGCTGTGAATACACCGAGTAATGTGAGAAACCAACCATGTCCTAACTCTCGTAGAACAAGCGCAGTAACTGCATACACAGCAAGTCTCATACTCATCTTAAAACTGGGCAAACTCCTTACTAATTGTCTAAGACGTCTTGCAAGCCTGAATATAAAGGACTTTGGCATTTCGAAGCCCATGAGGGCAAAGTCCCCACTTTTTATTTGCTAAAATTTTGCTCGTTAGAGGGCGCATGAATCAATGCCGTGAAAAAAACGAACGTGTGTCTTTTTAGTACGTGGTTCGTTCGCTCCGTTTTCCTGTCTAAAACTCCACCCTCATGCATTGGTACATAGAACCCAAAATATAGAATGATACAAGATTCATTATTCCAAATACATGTTTCTTTCAAAATCTTGATGATGAAAACAAAAGCTGAAGCAAAGTTAAAAACCTTTTAAAGTTCGCGCGTATATTACTTGTTCCAATTGTTGATGAATCAGGAATTAAATATTATTCACTCCGTAGTGCTTAGCAACTTATTACAACATGGACGAAACGAAGAGACCACTTCTTATTCCTCCTCAATTTGCCACTTATTCCGAAAAACATGGAGTTTTTGAGATGTATAAGGTAAAGATAATGATTTGTAGAGCTATGTCGCGTTGAATGAACGTGTTAATTCTCACTAAATTAGTAAACTCATGGTTTAGTTCTACTAGAATTTTTGGGGAAAAATTCCAAAAACATGAAAATAGACTACTACTTTTTTCAAGCTGACGTTTGTGAGTCTGACTTACCTTCTAAAGGTTAGAACCCGAATCTTAATGAAACCATATCACCTTTGTTCCGTCAACCATGGAGCATTTGCCACAACATCCAAGAGGTAAATCATGGATCGAGAAAATGAATGATTTCCTTGTAAGTTCCGGAAGTTTCAATACGAAAAATTACCGAACATATGTGAAAACCGAATATTTGTTCGTTGTTTTCACGATTTACAGGTTCGTTTGTTCTTCAATGTTTTGGTCTAAATTATAAAGCATCACCAACAGGTCTTACTCTATTAATCGACTAATACAGCAGACGGCTCATATTTCTACGTAGCATTTCATTCAGACCAATAGTGGGAGTGTAGATCACGCAGTTTCGTTCATTGCGTACTTCACTTGAAATTGGTAATTTAAAATATTGACTACTTCACTTAGCTTGGCGGATGTAGAACATTGCTAATATTCTTTTAATTTTCACACCAGACATGCTTGGTTGACACGTCAACAAAGTAAAGTTCAAGGGTCAATGCGTTATTTCGTGATAACTACAACGCCTTCCCGGAAGTCAACATTGATGAAAAATGAAAAAGTCGGAAAAGCATTTACGCTAATTTCTATCAAATGCTATGTTTATGCATCATCATCGACGCAACAAAGGTGATATGGTTTCATTAAGATTCGGGTTCTAACCTTTAGAAGGTAAGTCAGACTCCCAAACGTCAGCTAACTCTTATATTTAGCATGTTAGCGACGCAGTCAGGCCTTGAAAAAAGTAGTATAAGCAGCCAAGCTTAGCCTAAATAAAATTTAATTTTTAGAAGACTACTATGACTACAAAAATGAATTGAACTCCCGGGATTGAACTCAACTGAAACTGATTCTTAAACTCTGTTCACGAAATTTACCTTGTTCCAAGACTTTTCTCCCTTTTGGCAGCTTTTGGTCTTCCAGCCTCATGTCCGAGACTTTCCCTCCCACTAAGTTCGGAAGCCTAAAACCGAGAAAGGCAAAGGGATGTAACGTTGACATGTGGGGAAATGTCGACATGAGAAATGGGGTAACTTTGACACTTACTTAGACTAGAAGTAGAATTTCGTTTTCTGCCATGTTTGATTTCTGGAAAAATTAAAATTTCGCGAGATCTCAATCCATGTGAGAAAAAATTATGGCATCCCCTAGATCGGAAATTAGAGTAAATAAACAACAAGTTGTCGAAGTTACCCAACATGTCAAACTTACCCAAAAATGGTGTCGACATTATTCCCCTTCATCCTACTGAAATCAGTCACTTGCTTACTATCAATACGTGGCCTACATAGTACATGTAGGTTAGTCTATCAATCTTCGATTTGTCATATTCTTGAAAGTATCAGCACAATCTATGCTTATCAAAAGGACACACCATCGGTCTGAATCCCACTTGGTCCAATGTTCGAACCCCAATAGTCCGAATCCCAATTGTCCGAAACCTTATGATCAGAAAATCAAATTAAAGATGGTGGTACTGTAAAAAAGAAATATTTATGCATATGCATGATTCCTTTTTCGGAGGAAGGGTGAGACAAGATAATTAAGCTCGCCAATTTCACCCTTTCATGAATTTTTAGTTGCAAGCTGAGAAGCCCTTAGATCTCTTTGCATATTCATTCTTCAGGTTTGTTGTATCCACAGCATATCTGTTATATTGTTTGTGTTGTAGCGTCTCATGGAGCAGCTTATCATTCATAAGCCTGATGATCCACTATCATTTCTCATAGAGCTATTGAAGAGAGAAAACAATGATTGTAAGTATATAAGGAATGCAAGTACAATTTACTCTTACATTTTATGTATCAATGACAATAGGAACTCTCGTTACATGATCAAAATGTAAGTAATGCTCAACATGACAACAATGTTTTTCTTGAGATCAAAGTACACTGTAGATGCAAAATTTTCATTTCACACTTTTTTAACTACCTGCTCCAGTGCTGAATTGTCTAGAGTTTAGTGATACTGCTTTGTGCTATATTGATGAGTCTGCTCATATATCTCCATTGGTTTCAGTGCCTCAAGTTATGCTACATGGCCCTCCATCCTCAGGAAAGCGTACCATTGCCAAGATGGTATGTGCCAAACTGAGGACTGCCCACCTTACCATGGAGAACATGATAGCTGATGCAGAGACCAGTGTTAAAAGGGAGGCTGAATCATACTCTAAGAAAGGCCAGGTAATAATTTTGTACTTCGTCTTATAGTCTTTTTTTCATATGACTAGCCAAGATACAGCCATCTTTACCCCATGCAAGATATTATTGCCATCTTTCATCCTAAAAAGTCACACATGTAAGATGAGATTTACTTGTGACATCATTGGTCTATAAACATCAACAACATAGCAATAAATACACATATACATATAATACAATTGATGATTTGCGATCACTGGATGATTCTATCTTGTGGTGACGTCACAATTAGGCCACACTGGTATAGCTTTTTGATTTTGAGAGATTATCTTCTGTATTTTGTACTTTATTGATTTATTTTTACACGAAAGTGTTCGATTTGACTAGATCAACATTCATTCTAAGCACATGCCAAGTCTAAGATCTTACTGACATGATTTAGATAGTGGTTAAGCGCCCCCGATTTTGAAAAAATGGGGGGCGCTTATAGGCATCGATGTTTAGTATGAATTTCACCGAAACTTTACACATATTAAGATATACTCATGATCTAGTCAAATCGGCATACCTGGTATATGTCCGACCCATGATTTTCATAAAAGAAACAATAACATTTTTAGCTCAATACTGCCACGTGTCCGCCATTTCATCTCTCCATCATGTCTAATATCATTTCTATATGACATCACACCAATAAGACAAAATACATGACAACAGTATCTATAAACAAAATACCTGAATTCTGATCGCAAAAGGTCAATTGTGGAGCAATATAACTCAAATCAGTAAAATAAAATTGAATAAACAAAACAGTAATGTAATTGAAAATTAGATTTTGATTTTTGAGTAATTGTCATTTTAGATAAACTGTTCAGATGTTCAATAAAATTATTACTTGTAGTATTAAACTACAGTATAACCCAACACCACTCATAGGCCTGAAATCTCATTTCATCAAAATCATTTCTGCTCTCTAAAAAGCAATAAATATTGTATTTATAGCCAGTGCCAATTGAACTATGGGTGAAGATAATAAAGGAAAGGTTGAAGCTGTTTGACTGCATGAAGAAAGGATGGGTCATGGAAGGTTTCCCACAAACGAGAGAACAGGCTCAAGCCTTGCAGGCTGAAGGAATATACCCAAAACATTTTGGTATAATATTCAATCTTTATTTGTTGCTAGCTACTGTAGCTGAATTTCTGATGCAAATATAGGTTATCTCAGATTCATAGATATTATATTTTGAACTGCATGATGACTTGTTTCAAATGAATTGTTTCAAAATATGTTCCAGATGCTATTATGAAGCATGCTGAGAATTCATACTTTCATCTTTGAGCTACTCTACATATCCATTTTGGTGTATTGTTAAAACCTTTTTTTTTAAATGAGAAATTCAGAATTTGAATTGATGTTGTTTTTAGTGCTCTTGGATGCCCCCGACACAGTTCTGATAGAGAGGGCGTCTGGAAAGAGGATAGATCCTATTACTGGTGGTAAGTTCAACCCTGTTATTAACAATGAATTCATTAACAATATAACTATTCGATTTCATTCAAAGTGTCAAAGATATGCCTCTTGTAGTTTTTCACTTGATAGTTATTTTTAGCATCAAGTATTCAAAATGAACAATGATTTGTTGAATCATATTTTGCTTGTGTCTCTGATTTGCAGCAAAGGTGTTTCTTGTCTTGTTGTTGAACCTATAAAGCAATGGCACCATACACAAATGAATTATTTCACTTCAGGCAGATTGATGCCTTTTGGAATACAGTAAAACCTGTATTTTTGTATCTTGGAAACACCTCTCTAATCCAAACACCTCTCATATGTGAACACTTTTTCTCAGTCCCAAATTGGTTATTTCTTGACTCAAATATTTAAGAAATCTCAAATGGGAACATTTGCATTTCCAAGCACTTTTAGCCAGTTTCGGAATTCGGAATATACAGGTTTTACTTTACTACACTGTTTTCCTCATTTACATAGTTTTAGGTTTCGCGTCAAAGTATATGTATGGACAACCCAGCATGCATATTTTTGCCTGATTGCATGATAACTGTAGATGACACCAGTGCTAACATGTTCTACTTTCATATTAGATGTCTACCATACAACCTTTGACTACCCCAGTGATCAGGAGATCATAGAAAGACTGAAGCCAGTTGCTGAAAACACTGAGGAGGTACTAGTCAACAAACTTGTTGTTTACCATAGACATATTGAAGGCATCATTGACACTTACAATGTTGTACATAAAACAATCAATGCTGATCAACCAAAAGCTGATGTATTTTCTCAAGGTATAGTACATTTATAATACCCTCTTACTGCAATGTTCTTATTGCTGTTATATACTTCAGGAGTCAATAGTAATAAAAGTAATAACATTTTTTTTAAATGTTATAATTTCCCCTAAAAATGACACCCTAAAAGCGACTTTTTTGTGCTATATTTATTATCCAAAATTTAATTGAGTGCTTTTACTGTTCCCCCAGAATACTAAATTGATCATACATACATCGAGTGCTCTCCAAGAAAAGTAAATTTATTACACAACCCTGTAGATTGAGTGGTTCCCCAGAAGCTTGAGGCGAACCATACAAAAAGATCCCTTGTTATTTTCAGCATTTACCTTCCTGTGTAGTAATCCCCGCAGCGCTGCCCCACATACTCCTAGAGTTGTCCTAATGGGTCCGACTGGCAGTGGTAAAGCAGTCCAAGCAGCTCTTTTAGCCAACAAATATAATATTGTTAATGGTAAGTGTTGTTATAATACAGGGTGACACAAAAAATTATAACTTGCTCAATCATGATGAAATCTTTTCGAATTTTTCTGAAAAGATTGCAGATATAGTGTAAAAATGCTTGAAACAGTTGTATGTGTAATAGCATGAAGAAATCTACGAAAGAATGATTAATATGTCTATCCTTTATCGGCAATACAAGTTCTGTAAATTGTCATTTTCTTTTACACAGATTTTATTTTCAAAATTTACCAAATGTGAAACCAAATTATTTTCACAACCTAGTCCTGGTTTAGTGCAGAAACACTGTTTTCAGGCCATTACTGTTTATGACATTTGGTTCATTGCACTCTTTTAAAAAATATATATGTGAGCGTCCTATTTTTGGGCCCACCCTGTAAATTACCCTGATTTGTGTTATTTTGTTATTTTTAGTGTCGTGTGGATTATTGATTAAACAAGCCATAGCTGATGAGACAAAACAAGGATTAGCAGCCAAGCCATATATTGACAAAGGCATGATGAGTAAGTAGAGATCATACATTGACATATGCAATTATGTATGAATAAGTAAGAGTCATATACATTAAAACCTGTATATCAAAACACCTGGCTTATCCGAACACCTCCCAATCTGAACACTATTTTTCAGTCCTCCCGATTGACTCCCATGTTAAAAAAAATCTTGTAATGTGAACACCTCCCAATTTGAACACTCGTATTTGAAAACTTATCCTGTTTAATCTGAACAGTTTTTATAAAATATTACATGTTTCATACAAAATTGCTCAAATATTTGAAAATGAAATTCTGATTTGTCATGATTTCAAAACTTTTGGAAAAACCTTTGAATGCTCTCAATCATAATGGGGCTTTCCAGCATTACTAAATTCATCAGTTTTCAAATTATTGGATTGCCATAAAACTTAGTGGTCAAATGTACTAAAAATATTATTGAGAATGTGTTCACACTTCTTGTGGAATGGCGTTCCGATTATAACAGGTTTTACTGTATTGACAAAGACATAAATAAGTAAAAGTCAGTAACATTCGATTTTAAACCAACATTTTATTATTAATAAAGGTAATCATTATACTGTATTCTGTACAAGTCTATGAATTTACCACAAAATCCCCTGTACTGATGGAACTACTGTAAATTATGGCTTAAAAAGCATAATGAACAAGTACAAACCTAGCCTACCTCATATGATCAATTTATGGAATTGTTTTCAGTCCCAGATCAGCTTGTGTTGAACATCCTTGGGGAGAGGCTTGGTCAGTTAGACTGTGTGAGTCGTGGTTGGGTCCTGCATGGCTACCCAAAGACAGGAGAACAGGCTGAACAGCTTGCCAGGGCAGGACATGTACCTAACAGGTAAGCATTTGGGGAAAGATGGTGTTATAATGTCCCCACCATAAGTGGTTGGGTCCTGCATGGCTACCCAAAGACAGGAGAACAGGCTGAACAGCTTGCCAGGGCAGGACATGTACCTAACAGGTAAGCATTTGGGGAAAGATGGTGTTATAAAGTCACCACCATAAGTGGTTGGGTCCTGCATGGCTACCCAAAGACAGGAGAACAGGCTGAACAGCTTGCCAGGGCAGGACATGTACCTAACAGGTAAGCATTTGGGGAAAGATGGTGTTATAATGTCCCCACCATAAGTGGTTGGGTCCTGCATGGCTACCCAAAGACAGGAGAACAGGCTGAACAGCTTGCCAGGGCAGGACATGTACCTTACAGGTAAGCATTAGGGGGAAAGATGGTGTTATAATATCACCACCATAAGTGGTTGGGTCCTGCATGGCTACCCAAAGACAGGAGAACAGGCTGAACAGCTTGCCAGGGCAGGACATGTACCTTACAGGTAAGCATTAGGGGGAAAGATGGTTTTATAATATCACCACCATAAGTGGTTGGGTCCTGCATGGCTACCCAAAGACAGGAGAACAGGCTGAACAGCTTGCCAGAGCAGGACATGTACCTAACAATTAGAACATTTTAGATGACGAATGATTTGATGGTTTGATAAAATATGTTTGTTTAGTGGGATTTGCCACGCCTTAAAGTTGCTGTTTTTCTAGTTGAAACGCCCTGTCTAACAATCATTTTAAAAATTGTACCAGAAAGAAGCTGTTTTAATTGAGAAAATAAATGATCCCACTTTCAAAAATTCAACCATGTTGTTTCAGGACAGTGTTCTAGTTACATGTTAACCGGAGTTATAAGTCCATACATACGTTTTTAATTCTCTAATTTTATTTTACTCTAATTTCAGAGAGTTTTTCCTTGATGTACCAAATGACTCTGTCATTGAAAGATTAACACTACGTGCCACAGATCCAATCACTGGAGAGCGTTACCACATGTTATACAACCCACCAAGAACACAAGAAGTCAAGGAGAGACTAGAAAGACACCCAAAAGATAGCGAAGAAAATGTTCGGAAAAGACTTTCAGAGTTTAATACATACATGGAAGAAATCTCAGACTGTTACCCAGACTGTCAGCATATCAATGCAGACCAAGATCCTCATACTGTATTTGAATGTATTGAGAGCATGATTGTTAACCCAATCCCAAAAAGAGTTCAGTAGTTCTATTTATTCAATCAGTTGGATTGTAAAATATATAAAAAACGTTATGTAAAGAGTGTAAAGGGAACTCATGTGGGATAATAATAGACAGTAATATTGCCTGATAAAGTTCTGCAGGTGCGCATGTATAATGTATATAATGTATATTTCTCATAAATGATCATGAAATAAAATAAATATTTCAAATGACTCATTCTAAAACAACTGTTTCTTTTTGCTAATAAAGATACAAATTATCAGTCAAGACATCAGACATTTCAATCAATCCAAGCATTTTTATTTTGAATAAAATAGGTTTGCCATTTCTTAAAGAAGTCAAAAATGTGCACGTATCTCCAAATATTTTTGCTTTACAGCCGAACATATTTTTGATAAACCAGTTTTAAAAATAATGCAAAGAATCCTACTTGTGACTGCCATTTTGAACTGATGATCTCAAAATGGTTGCCACAACAACCATATATGACGTTGAAATCGTCTGGAAAAGACATGACTAGGAAATCTGCAACAACTTCTATGAGAAATGACTTGAAAATCATTCATTAAATTATCTTCGGAAATAGGGACACAAATATATTATGTTAATAAGTAAAAATTGAAAATTGTCAATCATCAAATATTCCACTATACAGTGCAAATTACATTATCTTTTTAGCATTGTAAAGATTGAACAAATGTCTCAAGATTTCAATAGTAAAAATGTCAACTTTTATTTGCCACTTAAATGTTTAAGCATATTGTTGTTCACCCTAAGCACGCTTACATGCTTCTCAAACGTCCTATCTCATCCAAAAATCGTGATTATATATTGGATTTATTTATTCTTCAAATAATATCTTTATTCAGATAAAAACTGAAGTTCCCACAACAATGACATAAACATGATAAAAAGCATACAATTCTTGTTATAGTTCTAAGATAAGGTATTCTTTAAAACAGAGACATTTTATACATGAAGGGAACGAAATAAATTGATAGCAAATTTCTTGCGGCCAATTGTTTTTTCTTCCCAAAGCTAGAGCTGATTAAGTTTTCAAACATTCTGATATTCATAGCATCTTTCTCTGTTGCATCGCAGAAGGATAGAGACGGAGAGGGCGTAGCTTACCACGATGGTTTTCGAATGGCATTCTAGATTCTGGCGTTGAAATTCAGTGGCTGATTTATACCGTTTATATATTGAAGAACATCATCATATTTTATCCATTTTCATTCATGAGTCGATTTAAGTGGCCGAGATAAGTTTGGGAGAGAGTAACTGGTGGTTTGCGACTGAAGAATCGATATTCGCGTTGTGAGAACGTGGTTTGGGAGGAAGGAACTAGGATAGTCAGGTCCAGGTCGGAACTGACAATCGCGTTTGTGGAAGTCTAGGAGGCCTGCCAACGGACATCTAAAATACCCGATATAAACGAATTGTTTGTTTTAATATCTTATATAATCAGGTTTTATGCGTGGGTATAAAATTCAGTTTAGGATGAAAAAACGCAGTCTGATATATATACAAACAATGATACAATGCTTGTAGATGAATGATCGCACTTAAAGATTAACTTAAAGACACGCATAACAGCTTATTTCAATGATTAGTGTCTGTTCATTTATTTCTTTTCGGGAATGTGGTACCATGGACTTTCAATCTAGTTGAAAGCCCATGGTGGTACCATGCGGAAATAATTGCAAGATGAACATGTATTCACATCCATCCTTTTTCTCATATCATATTGCACTTATAACGTCATTGTACTTTTTCATATTTCTGCGCATTATTGTTTTCCATACAGAATATTGGCTACGCCTCCAATGGCATTTGGTGGTCTTGGCCCAGTCCTCATTTTGTAGACAACCAATGCTATAACAGCCAGCAATACAATCAGCACAATTACTCCTATTGCTATTCCTGCTGTTTGGCCTGCTGTAAAAGGAAGGCCACCTGAAAATATGCGAAAATTATGTATTTAAATGTTTTTCACACAAACGTGTGCTTCCTGAATATAAGTGTTTCCCTGGAGGTGTTTCTCATATAGTTTGTTTAAGCATTTATCAATTTACACTTCATAGTTATTATGCGTGCTTTAAAATGTATATGAATAAAGATCTAGCTTGTCAGGAACAAAATCAATTAGAAATTTGGGGATATTTTAGAATGATAATCTTTGCAAACTTTTCGGCAAAATAAAACGTTTGTAAATACTGTATATATATACTATTCAGGGGTTCGTTTTTCGTACGATCGTAACTTACGATTCCGAGAAAACCATTTGTCTCTGTTTTGATGAACAATGACTTGCGACCAAATCGTAAGTTACGATGGTTTCAAAAACGGACCCCAGGCCCGTAGCCAGGATTTGCCAAGGGGGAGTTCAGTTTTCAAAAATTTCCAGGGGAGGGGGTTCGCATGATTTTGATATACCGACCATATACTAAGTGAATATATCACATTACTAATAAACTTACTCTGAGGCTGGGGTCCAGTTCCCATTTGACATATTGGTTTCCTTTTATAATTGCAGTTAGTTGTATGATAGAGCCCATCTGGAGTCATAGCGGTACACTCGTTCCCACCAAAATGGTTCGGATGAGTGTTCCATGCTCTATAAAGGAAACGAACGTGTGGCTAGAACTGAATGGTTATTGGGCCATAAGATATGGCATGAGTTTGAATCATATGTCAAAATACGAATTAGGGAAAACGAGACAAAGCATAGAAACAATTTTTATGCGGACAACAGATTCACTGAGCAAGCAAACGAATTCAGCTGATTTGGCCTACTATTTTCTGGAGTTAAACATAAAATAATAGTAAATCAAATCGTTAGCCGACAGTCGGCAGTTGAATTTGCGAATGCTACCTTAGTTTATCACTCTACTTACATTAATTCGTCCCTATATTCACTGCCATCAGTCCACTTCCAGGGTCCTTGATTCCCATTGGGGAGGTCATTCAGTCCGGTCCACCAGCCAGGCCATGTTGGATCGTCCAACCATATAATTCCACATTGGTCACGCACCCATTCCTAAAAGTTCATGTTACGAAGCTAGCATTCTAGAATTCAACTGCCGGTTGATGATTTAACTGCTATTTTTACTGCTTTCAAATATGAATAGAAGCAGGTACTATTCATCTTTAAATGAGTTGGGCATAAAATACAAGTTAAATCGTCAGCCGACAGTTAATTCGCGAATGCCATCTAAATCAATATAAAAACATCACTGGAATTTATTTAAATTGACCATTTCAATGTAACGCATGATTCGTTACTGATCCAATACACTGATTTACAAAAGTGTGTTATTATCTAACACAATGCAACTTTTCAAAAATGAGATTTTCATTCGTCATCTTTATTTAAAGTCAGATTGCAGGATGAGTACAAAGTACAAAGTACACACTGATTCATCAGCATTGGTAATAGACAGTAAATCAGCGTCTGTCTTTAGAGCTTGGCAGGCTGTTCTTGAATCCTGCCAGTTAAGGAGTGATGCTCGGTCCCTCGGACTGAAGTAGTAGCACGAACCATCCCTTTCACGCCAACCAAATGGACAGTTTTGATTTGGACCACTGCCTGGAAGTCGCACTAGTAATATAGCTCATTGTACAGAGTGGCCAACTATAGTGAGCAAGTAATTTCATGAACCATGCATGACAGCGCTGTCGAAAGAATTGCTTAGTCCACACATTTCAAAAGTTAATTTTTAAGGTGCTGGTGTTCCTTAATAAAGAAAGAATGTTAACATTCATGCATACTGCACTTATTGGGCCCATTTTTCAGGGTAAGGAGTTAATTGTACTAAAACTCAGAAAATGTACCTCCACCTGCCGTTTTCTGGCAAATATAACCAGGAATGGTTGATGTACAACTCGTGTCGTGAAATGAACCGTCGGGGTTAATAAAAGCACATTCGGTGTTTTTGTCCCAATTGTTGGGGTCCTTTTCCCAAACCCTAAATGCAAGAAGATTAAAATGCTTGGTGGTACTTTTCATTAATTCATGAAGTGCATCAACGTTTAACTCTTAAAAGTAAAAATGTACATAATTTGAATCCTTTCCGGGTGAGTTTTAGTTGTTTGCGAGCCTTATCGCAGGGATCATGGGAACGAACTTACACATAATCTGGATTGTAGGGTGTATCGTCCACCCACTTCCAGGCGTCTGTCTGAACGCGGTCGTTCATACCAACCCAAAAATTCAACCAACCAGGAGATGTTATCCACATGACGCCCACCATTTCTCTTATCCATTCCTTTGAAAAGAGGGAATAATATAGGATTTTACATCTTACATTCATAATATGGGTTGATTGGATGACCAGTTTGGTACCCTGCTCGCAGAGTCTAGTTATAAACTACTAAGTTTATAACTACTATAAACTATTAATCCCTGGGTCACATTTGCTGCGATTCTTCGGCCAGCGCCCGGCCGATTAAGTATTTTGTTCAAAATTGAATACATTTCTGAATAGAATACTCAATCGGCCGGGCCCCGTAGTGAAAATCGGGGCAAATGTGACCAAGGCATTAGACGAAGCTCTCTTAAGAATTGAAGTTGAACGAATGCAAAGGGTACCAGTTTGGCCCAGATTGAGGTTGGCCAGAGGTCAGGTTATTTAAACAAAAAGTCTGATCTTTATGTAAAACTAAAACGCAAATATGGATGTACTTTCATTTTTATAAATTCGACAACTGACAAGATATATCAAAATGACATCGTTAATAACGGTATTTCCATTGCAGAATAAAAGCACAACAATTATAAAATATGACAAGGCAGGGAAAATAGAAATTAGGAGTTCAAACTCTTGGAGACACAATAACCAACGGAAGTATCTGATATACACAAATGCTGTACGTAAATTTGAAATATACTTTTTTTGAATTAAGCCAAAGGAAATTATGGACATAAAAGTAAATGACCTTTACGGAAAACTATACCTACCGCTTCGTCAGCAGTCCTAAATGTGGCAAGATCACCTCCTCGTGTTTTCCCACACTCTGCTCGAGCACCATCGAACGTCATGCCAGAAGACCCCTCTCTGCTTGAGAACATGTAACATGAGTCTCCACGTCTCCACCAACGGTTATCTCCTTGGTTTATACAGGAATCACTACTCGAGGGAAGGTCATAGCGACAGATATAGGCAAGCTTAGAGTCACAATTTCCATCATTCATCACGCCGTTCTTTAGCATATTCCCACAATGCTCATTATCATTCCATCTGTTTGGTTCTGCATTCCATTTACTAAAAAATCAAATTTAAAAAATGATGCAACGTTGTACTCTTTATTTTTATTCAGTTTAGATTATTTTCATTCATCCCTGTGTGACGATGTCATTTGCTTCATTCATGTGAATCATAATAATAAAGTGACTAGTTTTCCAAAACCTATAATAATCTAATGATGAACAATGATCAAGAATCGTTATTTATATATAAGGGAATCGATGGGTATAATGTTCAGATGAATGTTTTTCTTCATTTCTGTCTCACAAGTCTTTCGCAACCACAAGCGTCAAATCTACTCTCTCAAATGTACTAACGTGCAATTCCCTATTAACTTACATGTACAAATCATTTGCTCTTGTGCCATCCCTCCATTTCCAAGGATGACATCCTTTATTTTGATCTACATCATTCAACCCTATCCATCTGCTATTCGTCGATTGCATTGCGGCTATTGCTGTTTCGATGTATGTCTATATTGTACAACATTTATTCATAGAGATGTGAATGGGATGGACTTCGCTTACCATGTCGTTACTTCGTAAAAATTTCAAAGAATTCGGGTCATACTGCTGAGGAAATATATGCTAAAAAGCGGATCACTTTTGGACACCCGATCGAGGAAAAAATAAACAAAATTAGTCGATACATATCATTGGGAAAGTGGCATACGGCCACATTTGTTTATCTACATTTTGTTTGACTAAATTTTGAAACCCATTCTTTGTACTCTAGGGGCGGGGAGGAAAATTCTCAATAAATGGTGTATAGTTGGTTTGGCAGCATTTTCTGTCAGGGGAGAGTCTTGGATGAAACTTCCACCTAGGTGATAGCTTCGCAGAGTGGTAGGAAGTTCTTTTTTTGAGGAGTTAGCCCCCCACCCCCCAAAAACACCCCACCCTGGGGAAAAAATTGTTCACACTAAATAACCTTAGATATTTTGATGTTTGTAAGTGACATACATAGATATAATATATGTGAATCACTTGCAGTATAATTGATGCTGATAACTCCTAAAGAATTTGAAAATTAGTACGAAGTATGTACCCAAGGGGGCAAATTCGTGACTCATTTTCTTTCTATTTTGATTCTAACTTTTCAATTAGACACTGTAAGAGGTTGGAAAAATTCATGTGAAGTGCCCAATAGCAGGGTTAGTAACCCTGAAAGATGCAAAGCCATGGAAGAGGTGGGAGCTGAGAAAAAAATTGTTGATTTTTGGAAAAATTTGACATTTTTGACAGCTGGATTTTGTGTATGACTATAGCTGACCCTTATAATTTCTAGATCCATCCCTCTATAATGATATTTATGGTTTTATAGTGTGAAACTAAGATGTAAAACATAATTTAGATGGGTTTTAAGGAAGTTAAAGGCTTTAAACAAGTCCAAAATTTGAAAAATTGTAAATATAAGGTTTCAAATTTACGAATTCCAGGTATAGCCATGGCTGACCCCTATAGTTTCTAGATCCATCCCTCTATGAT